AGTACACAAGGTACACATTGGTGTGCACATAAAAGAACCTATGACTGTCAAAAATGAAAGAAGAGTATATAGAAATGTTACTGTCTATCAGCCAAAATGATAAGAGATAATAAATAGACCCACCCTATAAAACTTTGGTGTGCACATAGCAGAACCTATGATTTTCAAAAATCAAAGAAGAGTACAGAGAAATGTTACTGTCTATCAGCCAAAATGATAAGAGAAAATTTAAGAAAATGAATAGACCCACCCTATAAAAGTTTGATACTGTAAGATCATTTAGATTCATTAATCAAGGACATCATTTTCTACGCAGTATTCGATTTCATTGTAAAAAATTATTGAAGGCAATTCAACATGAAAGAATTATAGGTCAGCTATTGTGATATTTAAAACACCACACAGCTACATATATGAATCATCTACTTATGATAATATATGTATATATCAAACATAATATACCAGTGTACCCAGTGATTATTATACTGAGAGATTTTATTTCAATACAAGGTGGATTTAAAAAGTATTAACAATCTATTTAAGAATATGTCCATTGAAGTTAAATTCTAAAACTTGTTCAAGTAAGATTACCCTTTAAGGGCGTTGAGCAGTATGCACATTTTAAAGCTAGCACTATAAGATATGACATTTTTGGTTAATCATCAAATCAAAAAAATGCCAATTTTAATAAACCAGCTATGTTCCATACTTAGCCCAAAAGCATGATAATAAAGGGTGCTGATGACAACAGCATGATAAAAAAGGTGCTGATGACAACAAAAGTTGCATTTTCTCAGTTATGCCTGCATGGATTTTCATCAAATTTGGCATGAACAATGCTAATAGCTATTCCAGAAAAGCCACGGAACAATTTTTGGCTATAGACTGTGGTTTGTCTGGTATCCATAGAAATGCCAAAAAACGATGAGTTTCTATTAGTACATGCTAAAACAAGATATCGATAATCCTCTCCTTGGATTACAAGTGAAGTAGAGGTTATAAGCAACATTTTGACACCAAAGACACATGTATGCTTCCCACATTACTGCTAGTGCTACTGTGCGATTTCAACATAAGTGTAGGTTCATCACTGCTGAAACCAATTTGACTCCAAGCCATCAAGATTACAATTCAGATGTACAATTTGAAAATCTTGTGAGTTGTTGTGGTCTCTGTGGGTTGGTGTTGATTTTTTTTGAGTCAGTATATGCCAAAAATCTCATATCAACTGCATTTTGTCTCCACCACTTTACTTCCAACATGTTCATTGCTTCTCAATATATATATATATTTGAACAGTGGCTTACTCCCTTAACCAGCTCTTGTTTAATGCCTGCCAAATGAACAAATATGCCACAGCGGCCACACCTTTTAAAAGGCCTAGATACTCGTATGACTTCATTTCTTTAAATCAAAGGTGATGAGTGAGGCAAGTAGTTGTCCTTGATAAACTCAAAATGACAATCGGAAATTGAATACTTGAGATTTAACAACCCTCCTCATGCTGTAATGACAATCCCTTAATGATATTGTCTACTAGATAGTTATTACTATTGTTGTATGTAGAACATAGAGGAAATATTATTCCTTCTACTTCCTTTACAGACAGACCAAACTTCAAAGAAAGTGCATTTCATTGATTTTTATAGAAATTCTTAACATTGTTTAAAGCCATTCTCATACAATAACATGTACTTTAAAGATACATTATGGGAGATTTTTATAGAGAATTGGCCATTCTGGCTATAACAGTTTAAAAGTAGATGATGAAAGAAAAATATATTGAAAATTCTGAACCTAGTTATCATCGTTGTAATATTTGACTAGAAATGGTAGTGAAATGTGCCTTCACCTTGGCCGATCGTTTGATTGACACCTACATATCTCGATTATCAAGTAAAGTTTTCAATGACATGCGGAAACGCTGTACAGCACTGAGCAGCCTCGCTAAGTACACTCTATCATTTAGCCTCGATCTAACTGACGTATTCTCATCAGGATGCGCCATATTTGAATTAATTAATAAGTGCAATCCTATTTAAATCTGAGCTGTAGCCGAGCCATCCATGGGTCTACAGAGTTGATTTTTGGCTTGTTGTTTAAATAAAGATCTAATTTATAATTTCTATAACATCTGAAGCCTAAATTAAGACTTGCAATAATCAGATTTTGCTCTTGCATAATGTATGTTTAACAAGTAATGTAATGAATAACAAGAAATTAATATGACCTGAAAGGGGTTAAAATAAATGCATTCTTTTCTTGATCAAATTAATTTCTTATTTAAAGATACATTATGGGAGATAAGATAAAGATATGGCAGTTCTCGCTATAATAGTTAAAAACTAGATAGTGTAAAGGTAATTTGCTGAAAATTTCAGTCAAATTGATCCACTAGCCGAGAACGAAGCGGGTGAAATTTTCGCATAGTCTCGGTCATCATTACTAAAATCATTAATATAAACAACATAGTCTCGATTATCCACTCTTTTGATTTAATTATCAATGGTCGTTAAGCGGCATATAGGAATCTAATCCAGCCAACATCGAAGGCTAGCCTTGACATCTAGAGTTGATTATGGTCTGGATAAGTTAATTAATTGATAATTTAGATAACATTTCAGGCCTAAAGAAAGACTTGTAATAAGCAGATTTTGCTCTTGCATAATACATGTTTAATAATATTATTTAAATGGCAGTAGTTTTCCAAGATAAAAACAATTCCCTATCATATATGTAGGCATATATATAGGCATATTGATTTTCAGTGATTTCTGATAATTACTTCTAGAGTTATGGCCCTTGATCACTTCAAAAAATCTTGTGGACGCTCTAGAGGCTAAAGTTAATATCCGATTGACTTTAAATTTATACACAGTGTTTAAGGTCATGAGACGTAGAAGCCTATTGATTTTCAGCAATTTCCGATAATTACTGCCAGAGTTATGGCCCTTGATCACTTCAAAAAATCTTGTGGACGCTCTAGAGGCTAAAGTTAATATCCGATTAACTTTATATTTATACACAGTGTTTAAGGTCATAAGACGAAGAAGTCTATACATTTTCAGCGATATTCGATGATTACTGCCAGAGTTATGGAACTTGATCACTTCAAAAAATCTTGTGGACGCTCTAGAGGCCAAAGTTAATATCCGATTGACTTTAAATTTATACACAATGCTTAAGGTCATGAGACGAAGAAGCCTATTGATTTTCAGAAATTTACGATAATTACTGCCAGAGTTATGGCCCTTGATCCCTTTGAAAAATCTTGTGGATGCTCTAGATGCTAAAGTTAATATCCGATTGACTTTAAATTTATACACAGTGTTTAAGGTCATGAGACGAAGAAGTCTATTCATTTTCAGCGATTTTCGATAATAACTGCCAGAGTTATGGCCCTTGATCACTTCAAAAAATCTTGTGGACGCTCTAGAGGCCAAAGCTAATATCCTATTGACTTTAAATTTATACACAGTGCTTAAGGTCATGAGACTAAGAAGCCTATTGATTTTCAGCAATTTACGATAATTACTGCCATAGTTATGGCCCTTGATCACTTTGAAAAATCTTGTGGACACTCTAGAGTCTAAAGTTAATATCCGATTGACTTTAAATTTATACATAGTGTTTAAGGTCATGAGACGAAGACGTCTATTTATTTTCAGTGATTTTTGATAATTACTGCTAGAGTTATGGCCCTTGATCACTTCAAAAAATCTTGTGGATGCTCTAGAGGCTAAAGTTAATATCTGATTGACTTTAAATTTATACACAGTGTTTGAGGCCATGAGGCGAAGAATCCTATTGATTTTCAAAGATTTCCAATAACTACTGCCAAAGTTATGGCCCTTGATCACTTTGAAAAATCTTGTGACGCTCTAGAGGTTAAAGTTATCATCCGATTGACTTCAGATTGATACACAGAGTTTAAGATCTTGATACAAACAAGTAAATTTTTATGACTTGAACAGCTAAATCCATGATATTAAAAGTTTTGTATACTAAGCATTAGAATGGGGCAGAACTTTATAAAAACCAAACAAATTATAATGGTTTTCTGGTAATTACTCTTAATCAGATTTTAGTGTATTATAAATGTTTCATTACCGAAAAAAGTAAAAATATGCAACAACACTTGTTGACTGCCCGGACGATTTTGCTGCTGTGGGCGTATGTTTGGCTTGTGGACCTTATAGAGGTCATAATTTTTATCCGATTTAAAAAAATGTGTTAATATATCACCGTTACACCCTAAGGACGGCTGAGTTCGAATTTCGTGAAAATCGGCCCAAAACTGACAGACAAAATGGCCGCCCTTCGTTCTCAAATAGCGTAAAAATATGGTATATCAAGGTTGTGGACCCTATAGAGGTCACAATTTTTATCCGATTTTGTTGAAACTTGCAATGTTAGTTTATAACACAAAGATCTCTGTTCCTTTCGATATTCGCGCACATCGGACCGTAACTTCCTGAATTATGGCCCCTGATTGTACGTAAAAACGGGTTTTTTGGCTTGTGGACCCTATAGAGGTCATAATTTTTATCCGATTTAAAAAAACGTATTATTATATCACCGTTACACCCTAAGGACGACTGAGATCGAATTTCGTGAAAATTGGCCCAAAACTGATCTACAAAATGGCAGTCCCTTGTTCTCAAATAGCGTAAAAATATGGTATATCAAGGTTGTGGACCCTATAGAGGTCACAATTTTTATCCGATTTTGTTGAAACTTGAAATGTAAGTTTATAACTCAAAGATCTTGGTTCCTTTCGATATTTGCGCATATCGAATTGTAATTTCCTGAATTATGGCCCTTGATTGTAGGAAAAATCACTTTCGTTTAGCTGGTTTTCTATCCATCTCTCGAAAATGTGGGCGTATACTGCCTGGCAGCCGCTGGTTCACAATTCAAGATGGAGAAAGTGACCCATATACAAGTTTATTGATAACAAATTTAATTGTACAATTAAATGATGTTTTTTACTTTTTCAGGTCAAGTATGTGGTCAGACGGCTGTAAAAAGTAGGATTTCAACATCAGCTACATTACGTTTTAATGTCTCCAGAATTCCATCTAATGATCTCATGAATTTGAACCATCCGACTGGAAATGTTGTTTTCCTTATACTCTCATCAGGAGGAAAACTTACTTCATCACAGCCACGTGAATCAGTATACATGAATCGAACTAGAAATGCCATCTTTCAATCTCAGATTTTTTCATTTATTCTTGATAATATTGTCAAACAAGATGGTGGATTGTATACATGTCAATATGGTATTTGCGAACAAAAACTAATAGTTCTTGGTAAGTACTCATATAATACTTGATATTCTGATATAATATCATTTGACATGAAATTATATGCCACAAACATTGCCATACATGTTACTAGATCTCACTAAATGGTAACTTGGGTCAAATCAAAACCAAGCCATATTAAGATTTAAATTACGATATTCGCGCATATCGGATTGTAACTTCATGAATTCTGGCCCTTGATTGTACGAAAAATCGTGTTTTTAGCTTGTGCTCCCTCTAGAGGTCACAATTTTTATCTTATTTTAACAAAACGTTACACTTTAATGATGGTTGAGTTTGAACTTCGTGAAAATCGGACCAAAACTGCCAGACAAAATGGCCGCCCCTCGTATGCAAATAGTGTATATATATGGTATATCAAGGTTGTGGCCACAATTTTGATCCGATTTTGATGAAACTTGAAAGATATATTTATATCCGAAAAATCTTGGTTCCTGTCGATATTCGCACATATCGGATCGTAACTTCCTGAATTATGGCCCTTGATGGTACAAAAAATCACTTTTTATTTAGCTTGTTCTCTATCCATCTCTTGCAAAATGTGGACGTATCTTGCCTGGCAGCCGCTGGTTTGCGCATTTTGTTATCAGATTTTGCATATAATAGTATGTGTGTATTTACATGTAATTGTTCGCATACTATAAATGCTTCTAATATTATTTTTATTTGAAAGCCAGATTTAGCTGTAAAGAAATATGTCAAATGTGCCTGAACTGAAAGTACAGTTGTGTAATAACTGTTATTTTAATTATATTTCAGATCGACCCAGTAAACCAAATATAATAGCAATAACACCATTTATTGCTTTTGAAGAAAGCGAGTTTAACTGTTCTGCAACATCAACCACTTTACCAAAAGATCATGGCTTAACCATGAAATACGTCTGGGAAAAAAACAACCAGATTTTACCAGAGACTGGACATTTATTTATTTTACCAATTGATAAAAGTAATCAGGGGGACATAATTAGATGCAAGGCTTATGAAGAATATGATTTGCAATCAGAAATTAGTGATGGTATTAATATAAATGTTAAATGTAAGTTTATTGTTTATAATAATAGATTCTTTGCTTTAAGATACCTTCCCGCTTACAAAGTGGGTGATTTGATGATATATTTTGAGTAAAAGCATATTTAAACAACTTAATCTGTCAAAAGTTTGCCTTAATTCCCTCTCAAAACATTGTATTCACGAGAAAATAATCTGTTTTAGAAGCCATGTTTGTCATGTAACTTGATTGAGGGAGGGCCCATTTTCAGTTACCGTCCATTTGCCATACATATTGAAGTCTTAAGTAAATTCTTGTATTATTTTCTGTCAACTTCTTTTTCCGCCATTTAATTGCAGAGTCAAACCCACCAATGTTCCCAAAACCACCTAACTGTTCATTCAAGAAATAACAACTGCTTGCTACTGTAAGTCAAGCTGGCAGACAATAAGCTGTCAGGTTGCCAGTTAGTGATACCCTGACAATTTTTCCCAGTATTTTCCTCATGGGTGTTTTTCAGGGAATTTGGTATTTTTCTAGTAGATGGGGCATCTCTACTTGCCATTTATACCAAATTTGCCATACTTTTATTGGAAATAACCACCTGATAAGTACTAGCTTGGTATCAAATCCTTTAATAAAGACATTTGAGCCCAATATTTCAGTCTACTTAGATGTACATGTTTTTATACGTCCACATTTTCATGTGGACGTATATTGTCGTCACCCCTGTCCGCCCGTCCGTCCGTCCATCCGGACGTCCGTCCACAATTGTTTGTGAACAGTCTACAGGTCATAATTTTTATCTGATTTCAATGAAACTTGAAATATAGGTTTATTACCCTAAGATCTCGGTTCCTTTCGATATTGGCATGTATCGGACTGTAACTTCATGGATTATGGCCCCTGATTGTACGAAAATCACGTTTTTAGCTTGTGAACACTGAAGAGGTCACAATTTTTATCCGATTTTGTTGAAACTTGAAATGTAAGTTTATAACACTAAAGATCTTGGTTCCTTTCGATATTCGCGCATATCGGACCGTAACTTACTGAATTATGGCCCCTGATTGTACGAAAAATCGCGTTTTTAGCTTGTGGACCCTATAGAGGTCATAATTTTTATCCAATTTAAAAAAACGTATTATTATATCACCGTTAAACCCTAAGGACGGCTGAGTTCGAATTTCGTGAAAATCGGCCCAAAACTGACAAACAAAATGGCCGCCGTTCGTTCTCAAATAGTGTAAAAATATGGTATATCAAGGTTGTGGACCCTATAGAGGTCACAATTTTTATCCGATTTTGTTGAAACTTGAAATGTACGTTTATAACACAAAGATCTTGGCGGTTCCTTTCGATATTCGCGCATATCGGACCGTAACTTCATGAATTAATAATTCAATTATGATGGCCCCTTATTGTACGAAAAATAGCGTTTTTAGCTTGTGGACCCTATAGAGGTCATAATTTTTATCCGATTTAAAAAAACGTTGTATTATGTTACCGTTAAACCCTAAGGATGGTTGAATTCGAATTTCGTGAAAATCGGCCCAAAACTGACAGACAAAATGGCCGCCGTTCGTTCTCAAATACCGTAAAAATATGGTATATCAAGGTTGTGGACCCTATAGAGGTCACAATTTTTATCCGATTTTGTTGAAACTTAAAATGTAAAAAGTTCCTTTCGATATTTGCGCATATCGGACTGTAACTTCCTGAAGTATTGCCCCTGATAGTACGCAAAAATGCGTTTTTTGGCTTGTGGACCCTATAGAGGTCATAATTTTTATCCGATTTAAAAAACCATGTTAATATATCACTGTTACACCCTAAGGACGACTGAGTTCAAATTCTGTGAAAATCGGCCCAAAACTGACAGATAAAATGGCCGCCCTTCGTTCTCAAGTAGTGTAAAAATATCGTATATCAAGGTTGTGGACCCTATAGAGGTCACAATTTTTATCCGATTTTGTTGAAACTTGAAATGTAAGTTTATAAACCCAAAGATCTTGGTTCCTTTTGATATTCACGCATATCGGACCGTAACTTACTGAATTATGGCCCCTGATTGTACGAAAAATTGCGTTTTTAGCTTGTGGACCATATAGAGGTCATAATTTTTATCCGATTTAAAAAAACGTATTATTATATCACTGTTACACCCTAAGTACAACTGATTTCGAATTTCGTGAAAATCGGCCCAAAACTGACAGACAAAATGGCAGCCCCTCGTTCTCAAATTGCGTAAAAATATCGTATATCAAGGTTGTGGACCCTATAGATTTTGTCCAATTTTGTTGAAACCTGAAATGTAAGTTTATAACCCAAAGATCTTGGTTCCTTTCGATATTAGCGCTTATCGAATTGTAATTTCCTGAATTATGGCCCTTGATTGTAGGAAAAATCACTTTCGTTTTAGCTTGTTTTCTATCCATCTCTCGAAAATGTGGGCATATACTGCCTGGCAGCCGCTGGTTTGGTACTGGTAAGATAATGTAAGGTAAAGTTAATGTAGCTCAGAAATTCTGTGTGTTGAAGGAGGTTTTATCATCACAGGATGGTCTGTATCCCATAACTGGGTTATCCAAGCCATCCAGTTACTCCCATATCCCAAAGCAAGATATTAAAATGAAATTACTTTAAATTATGTTTCTATTATGATAAGCGTCCTTCATCCTGGAAGTCATGGGGAAAGTGTAGACTTAGAATATTGTAAGTTTATATAGAATTGACAAATAAATTGGGGAGGACAATATAACAGCAATATCATAAACAATATTAATCCTGAGAAGCAATCCTATTGTAGTGAAACAAATTTCCATTTGAAAAGTGGGCTTTTTACCTCTGCACCATAGTTCGGTATCTGTGCAGTGTTGTAGAAGACTGTCTTTTAAAGGAGCTAAATCGCTAACATTTGGGACCTAGAAATTGACAAAAGTGGGTCGCAACGCATATAATACTGTAATATGAATGTATATAAACTGATTTACATTCAATGGTTTCCGTTTTTACTCCAATTTCAAATCAGTTATGTTCGGCGAAATAAGCCAGCTGTCTCAAGCGAGTGCAAATTTCTAGCCTCTGGTTATTCCAGTCTACATACGCCGCTTGATTTGGTGCAATGTGTCTAGCCTCGTCCCTTGAGTCTCTTGATTCAACTGGGACTGAAGCGCATTATGGTACACGATTCGTGTACCAATGGTAAAATGTCTATTTTGTCTTAAATATTGGATATCAAAAGCCCATCTTTTTCCGGCAAGATCACAACATGAATGTTGATTTAATTTGACAAATAAATCGTGTTTTCAATGTTGAAGATTTTGGATGATATTGAGTTAGAGACTTAGCTACTTTAAATGCCATGAACCAAGTAGAATTTTGATAATACTAGATTTATATTGTAATATATTAATGTTTTATTTTGAACAGTTAGCCCTGAAAAAATTAATATAAAACCAGAAGGAGTATCAGCACCAGTCAATGAGAATGTAAGTGTATCTTGTACTTCCGATTGTAAACCAGAATGTAAATATGAATGGAAAAAGCAAGATGGAGATGTTATATCTACTGGTAATATATTGAATATGGTGAATATTGAACGAACTAATGATGGTACCTACACGTGTACAGCTAGTAATGATTATGGTACATCAAGTGAAAATTTTATCCTGAATGTTCTTTGTAAGTATGATTGGTTTAAAGGGGGGGGTGGGGCTAATCTAAATTGTTCAAATCACAAGAAAACATTAATGTTTGCTGATTTTATTGTTAATATAATAAATGTTTGAAACATTGATGAAGTTGCCAATTTCATCTGTCACATGACATACCTACCATGAATGATGTCAGGATGTCAGTATTATAATGTACACCTTTCACAATAAATTCATAAATAATTCAAACATACAAATACAGTAATATAAAGTATACTGACAACAAAGAGCTTGGTTGCAACAAAACTATAATATTCAACATAACTTGATGCTGTGAATATGTCTATTGTATTCTGTACAATCTGCAGTTGTGAATATGTCGATTGTGTTGTACATTTCTTTGTGTGTTAATTATGATCCACATTTAAAGTAATGTCATTACGTCTTCTTTATTCATTTCCGATTCTATTGAAACACGGGCCACCACAGGTAAATCTCCACCAATTACAGTCCAAAACCACTTTATTTGACACTTGGAATTTGATAAAGAGTAGACGGAAACACTGGTGTCCAGGTAAATTTCCCTCTTAGCACACAGACTCGTGTCGGCCGTCTTTATTAGCCTGCTTGGTGTAGAAAATTTGGATGTTAAACTTCATATTTCATTTCTTTCCACCTTATGATTGAATTATTTATATAGGTTTTATTTCTAACAGATGGACCTGTTATTGAATCTGCAAGTATTGCAGCTGCAAGTATTGCATTTGGTAGTATCCGGAATGTTACTGCACCAGAGAAATCTCATGTGAATATAAGTCTCAAATTAGACAGTAACCCTAAACCTGATGTTACATGGAAAAACAACGGTCAACCTATAAATAAAAACAATATAAAAATGTTGTGGGAGGGACCGATAATAGTCATAGCTGCAGGTTCTAAGAAATATTTATTTACTAGTACATTACGTATAATAGATATCAACTGTAATGATATGGGAATGTATAGTGGACGTGTTTCTAACAATTACGGTTCTAAGACAGTTCAAGATTTCTACCTTACAGTACTATGTAAGTATAGAGTTATTTTTTGACCGATTAATTTTTCACCCAGTCTCTCATAATGATTTACATGGCTTTTCTCACCATAATGCCCAATTGTGAAGAGGATGGTTTGCTTAAATTACAATAAGTTGTTTATTATTGTGTTAAAAGAAATATATGATAATACAAATTTATGAATTTAAATTACAGGTAGTCCTCAGATTGATGAGGAAAGTTATTTTAAAGATGAATTTGCACCAAATGTTGGAGACAGTGTGGATATTATATTAAGAGTGGTAGCCTATCCTGAACCTGTGATAAAAACTATATACCATAATGGTATATCTCTTCCAAGTACAGCGTTTGATATTCAGACCAATAATGACAATACTCGGCCCTATATAACTGTGTTTAAGTTGACAAAAACAAACATTTCTATCAGTGATTTGGGTTATTATAATGTTGAATTTAATAATGATAATACAGCTGGCAGTGTTAATATCACTTTTCATTTCAAGGAGAGAGGTAGGTAGAATTGTATTTTTCTACTCTAAAATTAGAAATTAAATATTGGTTAAACAGCGTAAAGTCAAAAGTTAACCATTATTGTTGAGATGCCATTGTGTGGTCTTGTTTGTCCGGCGCATATCCCCGACACTGCCGTTTCAATCTGGACCAAACGTGCATGGTATGTCAGACCTATGATCAAGTTGTTCACATGGTATTTTTGTTGTTATGGCAACCCATAAACAGATTTTTATACGCCCACATTTTCATGTGGAGGTACATGTATATTGTCGTCGTCCCTGTCCGTCCGTCCACAATTTGTTTGTGGACACACTACAGGTCACAATTCTTATCCGATTTCGACGAAACTTGAAATATAGGTGTATCCCCAAAAGATCTCGGCTGCTTTCGATATTGGCATGTATCGAATCGAAACTTCATGGATTATGGCCCCTGTTTGTACGAAAAATCACGTTTTTAGCTTGTGGACCCTATAGAGGTCACAATTTTGTTCCGATTTTGTTGAAACTTGAAATGTAAGTTTATAACCCAAAGATCTTGGTTCCTTTTGATATTCGAGAATATCGGACAATAACTTCCTGAATTATGGCCCCTGATTGTACGAAAAATCACGTTTTTAGCTTGTGGACCCTATAGAAGTCATAATTTTTATCCGATTTAAAAAACCGTTCTATTATATCACCGTTACACCCTAAGGATGACTGAGTTCGAATTTTGTGAAAATCGTTCCCAAATAGCGTAAGAATATGGTATATCAAGGTTGTGGACCCTATAGGGGTCACAATTTTTATCCGATTTTGTTGAAACTTGAAATGTAAGTTTATAACCCAAAGATCTCGGTTCCTTTCGATATTTGTGCATATCGGACCGTAACTTCCTGAATTATGGCCCCTGATTGTAAGAAAAATCACGTTTTTAGCTTGTGGACCCTATAGAAGTCATAATTTTTATCCGATTTAAAAAAACGTTCTATTATGTCACGTTACACCCTAAGGAGGACTGAGTTCGAATTTCGTGAAAATTGGCCCAAAATTGACAGACAAAATGGCTGCCGTTCGTTCAATTCCGTTCGATATTTGCGCATATCGAATTGGAATTTCCTGAATTATGGCCCTTGATTGTAGGAAAAATCACTTTCTTGTTAGCTTGTTCTCTATCCATCTCTCGAAAATGTGGGCGTATCCTGCCTGGCAGCCGCTGGTTAGCTTGTGGATCCTATAGAGGTCATAATTTTTATCCGATTTAAAAAAACGTATTATTATATCACCGTTACACCCAAAGGATGGCCAAGTTTGAATTTCGTGAAAATCGGCCCAAAACTGACAGACAAAATGGCAGCCGTTCGTTCTCAAATAGCGTAAAAATATGGTGTATCAAGGTTGTGGACCCTATAGAGGTCACAATTTTTATCTGATTTTGTTGAAACTTGAAATGTAAGTTTATAACCCAAAGATCTCGGTTCCTTTCAATCTTCGCGCATATCGAATTGTAATTTCCTGAATTATGGCCCTTGATTGTAGGAAAAATCACTTTATTTTTAGCTTGTTCTCTATTCATCTCTCGAAAATGTGGGCGTATCCTGCCTGGCAGCCGCTGGTTTTCAATTTTCAGTGTCGCTCCTAGATGCATTGACCGAACCCATTAGTGGTGAATAGATCTTACATAGTACACCAACGTTTGTCTTATGACTTTGAGAGGTCCAGAATCAAAGGGCATATATTGCATTTTTCGTGAAAACAGCCCATCTCACGCAAAATTGAACTACCACAGCTTTGATCCTGTGGCCATCAAACTTTCACATGATTTTCTACTGAGGAGGCTTAACACGAATTGTTGTTATTTGCTTCAGCATTTTTCATGGCAAAAAATAGTTTTGATATTCAGAGATTATAACATATCATGGTTCTTATTTATAAGTAAGTTGATAAGTAAGTCATTTAATTATGGAATTTAAAAAATTTGGAAAACTTTTTTTTTAGGACCTCCAACAGCTCCAAAAAGTCTTAGAGCAACAGATGTTACAGCAGAAACACTTACACTACACTGGACATCAGCTTTTGATGGTGGTGTCAAACAAATATTTAAAGTGGGGTATAAAAATTTGTACGGAAACTGGACATTTTATAATCAAACTTACAGTGATCCTGGGGAAGGGTTAACTGTTTCTGCAGAAGTAAAAGGTTTAAGAGAATTAACAGTGTATTCGTTCCGTGTTGTGTCTAAAAATGTATATGGTCAAAGTGATTTTACAGAAGCTATTAATGTTACAACTGAAAGTAAGTTTAGTTAAATATTTTCAATTATTCTCTTCTTTTTATTATGACAAGCCTTAACATAGGCTTGTTTAATAGCATAAACCAATCACACATATCAGATCTGCTTCTCCTAACAACCTTTTAATTCTACAGTGTAAGTCTTTATTTAGCTGTACTCTTTTTCACAAGGCTCAATAGTATATTTATATGTTTACATTTAATTAGGACATTTTTCATCCGATTTTGATGAAACTTGGTATGTGACTTTCTATAAATGACTGCTCGCTATTGCTAAACTTTCATAAGAACTATCTGCCATGGCGGCTGCCTGTTATGGCTGCCAGACTGTTACCCAGATCTGGTTTAGTCAACACACCAAATCTTTCTCTAAATATAATGTTCAATATATGGCCAACTTTATTCCAAGCTAGGGATCATGTTTCAAATATAATTGAATTAAAATTTAATAGATGGCATTCACTTTTACAAGCTATTAAAACAACATAAATGTTACTCAATTTTCCTGTATAGTACACTCATTTTTTTCTGATAGATATGGTGTGAAAAAAGCAAACGTAAAAAAAGTCACTGTTGTCAACAGTGTTGTGACCTTGTGTTTTACTGTTTACAATTTACATGGTGTATAGTACCCACCAAGTGGGTGGGGGACACATATTCAAATTGTCTGGCCTTGATGTCTGCAATGAAATCACATGATTTCATGGTTTATAAAGCTAATCCGAGCCTTCGACAAGTAATATTAATTGAAAGTATAGTCTATTCTTAGTAATTAGTTTACTGTGGACAGCGACCCATTTCTTTCGACAAAACAAATGTGTTGGCTTATAGTGTGCCAGGTTGATCTCGGCATGTTGTTGTGAACGTAAACAATGCGACCAAGACCAGTTTGTAAACTGTTTTTGAATACGTGATTACCCAATGGATTAACCCAGGGTATAGTGGAGCCTACCCTACTTCACTTATGAACATGTGACAGAATGATCCTGTCCCAAATAAAACCCACAGCCCCAGGCATTGAATCCATACACATCTACTGAGTGAGCAACAGGGACAATTCCCTACGAACAAGTCAGTACAGAAAGTATATTTAAGCTCGAAACAGCCCAGATATACCAACAATCACACACCATATAGTTAATTCCCTGCTATACACACACACACACACACACACACACACACTAGTAAATATTGTTCTCTTCCAAGGTTATGTCTTATATGTAAAGTATATTTTGTTATATTTTGTAGAATTAAATTCATCAGTAGTTAATGCTGGTATGTCAAGTGATACAGCTATGTATATAGGTATTGGTGTTTGTGCTGCTGTACTACTACTAATTATTATTGTAGTTATTATAGTTTGTATCAGAAAAAATAGAAAAACAAAGACATTTAAGAAGAAAGGTATTTATGCCAGCTATTATTGTGTTTTATCTCTTTCTTGTATAAAGACATGTTCTCTCAGGTTAAATTGGTCATATGTTGCTACTTGAAAACTAAATGTATGATATTTCTTATGGGCTGGAAAAATTAATGATAGACTAAAAGTTATTACTAAATTGACGAAAGATTAAATAACTCTTTAAATACAAACTGTTTGGCTGATGACTGTTCGTAGTCATCATGTCAGTGTGTAAGGATGCCATCTCTTGTATTTGCTGTCCATCCACAATTTCTTTACAGATTTTTTTCCCTAGATTTGTAGGGATTGTACATTAAGTCATAAGGAAGAACCCTATCAAAAATCAATATTTTTGAATCACCAGTTGCAGAGTTATCTGCTCATTTACATTCAAAATTGTTAAAGCTTAATGAACGCTGTAGGGAACTTGGTGGGATTGTTGATTGGGGTATCAGGAATTTTAAATTTCAGACTATAAATTTTGAATGTATTTTGCGGTGTTAGCTTTCAAATTCTTTTTTTACTGTTGAATGAGATACATGACCAAGTTGATGGTGGAATGTTATCAAACTTTTGAGTATATATTTTAGAGTTATCTCTCTTGTTCATGCATTACAGGACAGAGTTTTTGATGGAATATTTTAAAAAACGTGGTGACATTGTTTATTAGAACAAATCAAAATTGTTTTTGTGGATTATCTTTGCATTTTGATTGATTTAAATGAATTCTCCTCTATCTATTATTTCAGACAGATTTTTCAAGCGGTTAAGAGAAAGGTATTTTTATTATTTTTTAAGTATAAATATCTATTATAAATAAATTAATTATTCAATAACAGGTTAATTAGTCCAATTACATTGTTCATAAAGATGAGAGAACCCTTGTTGAACTGTTGCTAGAAATAAACATCTAAGTAACTTGTATTCCATATAATTGTGTCATGTTTTTCTGATTTATTTACAAAATGCCACTAAACAATGTATTCTTTATCAAGATTGGGAAAATGACAATCATTTCGGGACCAAACGAAGATAATGCAGATTAATAATAATAATTATAAATGTCTATTTGTAACAAGCTAGTGTCTACAAAGCATGCTAAATAAAACTAACCAAAGTATATAGAGGATATTTGTCGTTTTGTCGTGAATAACATATTTTATTTCATCGAGAAGCACGAAAACTTATATTTTCACGAATGCGTAGCATGAGTGAAAATATAAACGTTTTCTTGCTTAGAGATGAAATAAAATATGTTATTCACGACAAAACGACAAATGTTCTATTTATTTTATGATTTTACAATCATTTTAGGTAAAAACAACATGGACTACTGCTAGCCAGTGGAATAACACTGGCTAAAACGCGGTATTCCACTACTGATCATAAAATAAATTACATTATCTGATTATGTATTATAGGTGGCCAATGATAGCAGGAGATCATAATGATAATATAACATGTAATAATGATTTAACGCCTAAAGAAAATCATATTTATGGTAAGTTGTATCAATATTCCAAGACAAAGAGACGATGAAACCCCCACACTCGAAAAAGTAGGAGGGCGGAAGATTCCCCTGTAACAATGTGGTCCGGTTTGGATCTCAGTGATGCATCTGAGGGAGAGCAGGAACCAGTCCGTGTAGAATAGATTAGTAAAGATAATCCCCCAGGAACAAACTAGATCAACACTGTGTGAATTTAAATCAGTATAATCTTCACCAAAACGCGTTTCGGGCTAATATTTATAACAAGCTTGTACACTTGTGGTAAACGATCATGAATTTCAGAATAATGTGATTTTGAGCAAATATACAATACATGTGGTCAGTCAAATACAAACTTGAACAGCTTAACATTCTATAAGGTATATTCAGAATAAATCTTTTGGGTTTGATGGATTCAGTAGTCGATTGGTTAGGGCACTGGACTCAAAGAGTAGAGGGGGGTGGCAGTTTTAAACATATTAGTGTATATGTAAAACAATTGTTGAAAATTGAAATTTAATAAGTATTAGGCTAAAATGCTACTGTTGTGGTAAAATTCTTCTCCCTTGAAAATATTAACCAAATGTTAGTCTCAAATAGTCTTATTACAGTGTGGACAAGCTGTTAGACTCCATTCCTTTATGTCAAACTGTTTTTAAAATCTGTGATTGTGTTTTCATAGAAGATATACAACCCACAAGTTCCAGAATATCACCATCACGACCATCAGTGCCACCACCTAAACCTGAACGTACATTTGAAGAGGAAGTAGAGTTAAGAAATCAAAAAGATCCAATCTGGAAGCCAGCAGAAAGAAAATTACCTAAAGTAAATGAAGTAAGTATTACATCTATTAACACATTCAAGACACCTTATCAATTGTTTTGTTCACCAGACACACATTGATTAACTAGATTTCAGCTTTTTTATCAGATTGAATGCATAATATTGTGTTTTTTTCTTTTATACGGCCACATAGAAATTTGGTTGTATATTGTCGTCAGAGCCATTTATCCATCTCACATCCACATATGTACACTCTAAGGATGTTATGATTATGGCCCTTGATCAATTTTAAAAATCTTGTGAATGCTCAAGAGACTAAAGCTATCATCCAATTGACTGGAAATTTATACATTATTAGGGTGACCCACCATAAATAAATATCTCCATATATCTCGACAATTACGCCACAATATTTATATATATGCCAAGCCTCAAATCAGTTTCACACAATTATAGTCACTAAATAAACGATCATGTTGTACTTAATAAGCTATGACCATTAATCATGTATAAATAATAGACTGAAAACTGGTTCCAAGAGTCGTCCATAACATCCAGACACTTTTGAGTAAAAGATAGGTTACGTGCCCTTGTTTTGAAATTAGTCTCGCTTAACCAGTCTATCGACCATTCTACGTCTGATTGACAGGTCGGGATAATCAAGACTACTTTTTTACGAAACATAACAGAAAGCTAGAACAAGAAATTGAATTTAGAAATAAGCATGTTAGGTAGCTCAACAATCGTTTTAAGAAGCTTGTAAAAGTAAAATGAAACTACTGCTAGTATCATGTTCCTGTCTAACCCGAGTGATTCAGAGATATTATTTGTACTAAACCAAAAGATGCCGCTCTTAACGGTACAGTTAACGATAAAGCGATTTAAAAAATGAAACGAACGTAATTTCTAAATCTGCTGTAATAACCAAGAAGCTTAATTTTACTGCTATTCAAAATCGTCAACAATAAATTTTTTACGGCTGTAATAGTTGATAGATTTGTAGAGAATTGCACGTGCCATGGCTATTTATAGTATCATACTGTCAGAAAGTTGGTCTCGGCACGGCGAATGTGCACGCTTCAGTGGTAGTCTCGAACTATCAGCGGTGGACTGTATTTCTGTGAGTACATGGGTCACCCTAACATTATACACAGTGTTTCCGGTCACGATACATCAATTTATGATACTTACTACCAGAGTTATGGCCCATGATCAATTGAAATATCTAGTAGACACTCAAAAGGCTAAATTTATTATCTTATGCATGCTCTATGAGTCTACAGTTATCATCTGATTGATGAGGGGCCTATTCATTTTCAGCATTTATGAGAAGAAGGATCCAATTGATTTTACCAATATTTGATCATTTCTTTACTGCGGTTTATCACTTTGAAAAGTCTTATTGATGCTCTACTATCAATTAAAATTTTTGTGCGTTGTGTATGTGAGCAAAAAGGTGAAGCCTATCAAACTTTAACGATTTTTATACGCCCACATTGAAATGTGGACGTATATTGCCGTCGCCCCCGTCCGTCGTCCACAATTTCTTGTGAACGCTCTAACGCCAAAAGTTATCATCCAATTGTTTTAAAATTGATATATGTTGTTTACATTAGTGAGATGAAGAAGCCTATTGAATGTCAGCAATTTCCGTTTATTACGTCTAGAGTTATGGCCCTTGTTTCACTTTATTGATCCTTGTGAACGCTCTAACGTCAAAAGTTATCATCCGATCTTTCTGAAATTTATTTGCATTATTTAGATTACTGAAACGAAGAAGCCTACTTCTAGAGTTATTGCCCTTGTTTCATTTTGTTAAACCTTGTTAATGCTCGATTGATGAAAGTTATCATCCGATATGTATGAAATTTATATGCATTATTTAAATTAGTAAAACGAAAAAGCCTGTCAAATTTCAACAATTTCTGTAGAATACTTCCAGAGTTGAGACCCTTGTTTGAATTTGTAGAACCTTGTAAACCCTCAAAACGACAAAATTTATAATCTGATTTGTATGGAACTGTCTTGTAAAGACCCCCAATTACCTACAAAGGAATAAATAGTCAACAACCCTTGTCGACCGCTCGGACGATTTAGCTGCTGTGGGCGTATGATTTGTTGCCTGGCAACCTATCTTTGATAATTACTTCCTGAGTTAATAAAATATTAATGTCTTGTAAATGCTTTTGTTACCAATAAAATAATCTTAATGACTTAGCAATTGGGGGTATGTCATCCATTGCCTGGCAACCTATATTTTTTATTTAAATGAAATGAAATGAAATGGAGTTTAACATCCTACTTTTCTGCTCCGACTGGTCTAATGAAGACGGGCATATGCCATACAGTGTGCTATGAGGGAAAATTTGCTCGGGCAGTGGCACTATTACTCTTATATCAAATTCCAACTGCCAAGGGATCTTTTAGGTGCACACCAATGTGTACACGGGACCTCGGTTTTTCATCCCATCCGAACGACAAGACAGCTGTCCCTGTCAGGCCCTCTTTCCTGCACCACTGACAAGGGAAAACCTTGTTGGAAAATCACGATGGACTTTCTCTGCCAATGCAGGAATCGAACACGCAGCGTCCAGGCTAGCGAGCCAGCATCTTAACCACTCAGCCACCGTGGCTCTTTTTTTTCTTTTTCTTTTTTATATAAACCTGATCACATGAATAACAAATATTTTATTTTACAGAACACGGAACATTTACACAATGCCAGGAAATCACTGAAACCTGTTGCTAATAAAGTTGTTCTGAGTTAAAGATGGATACTTTTAATCTCATTTGAATTATGTACAGTGTAATAAACAATAATTGAAACACTTATAAATTAATGGTAAAAATTGATTGATTTAACAAAACACAATTCTATGGATGACAGTTATTACAAAGATGAAATACATGTCATCGCACATTGAAATTTGTGGTTGTAGTTGATTTAATTGTCCTTGGCAATGTCATATATATTGCAAAGATTATTTGTTTACATGTGTATGTATATATATATATATTTATAGTAGAATCTCATAATGCATCCACCATATCTTGTGACAAACAGTCTCTATTCTTTTGTATTTGAGCAAAGAGAAGCGTTCAGTGATAATACAACTAGTCCTGAACTAGCCATGATCAAATTCATGCCATGAACCTTTCATGATAACATTCATAAGTATCGTGCCAAACATTTTCATGGCATGGTTTTGTTTTGCTGGTTATATGGTAATGTGGATAATATGATTAACCTAGCCAGTAAATACATGTGCTGGGATACAGGCTAGTTTTGTTCCTATTTACACTATCAATACATGTATATCAAGTAAACGGTACTAAATCTGGAATCAGACTACTCGACTAAGTTGAGATCACGCTGGACGTGGCCCAACCTTATGAATATCATAAAGGTAGTAGAAGATCTAAGTTGTATATCGAGAGTAGTATTTGAATGTGTCTTTTCCATATAAGGATGTGTGTTTCATCAAATTCAAGAAAATGTTTGTTGTCATAAAAGGACAAATTATTCACAGTGAGAATTGAGTTGCACAATTTCAGGTCCAGACAGTGTAAATATGGTAAAAGATTGAACAAATTTATTCTAGATCTTAATATTAACATTTCTTTATATATTTTGTGTACAACAAGAGTTATGTATTGGTCAATATTGCAGTGAAACAAGCTTAATGCTAAATACAGCCTTGTGTGCCAAAAATGTGGCAATACCAATTGAGCTTTGATTAGGTGTAAACACAGCTATAATTATTTATTATGAACATATTATTAATAATTGTACTTAAAACATTGTTTTATTGTTTATTACTACTTCTCTAGAATACTTTACTGTTATATTGGTCAATTTTAATTCATAACCTCTCTCCATTATAAGTAAATATTATCAACATTTATTTCTGTAAATATTTTCATTACAATGCTCATGTTTATAAAGTGTTCAACTCAGCTGTTATACTAGGAGTGTAGCAATATATTTATATACTACAATCTACAAATACAACATTAATATACTACTCTTTAACTCATGAATAACAAATCCTCTTATTGTTGTATTCCAGCATAACTTGAATGTTTTGTTCACTCTGATAGGTTGCCAGATTAATAAAGGGAGACAACCAGATTATCAGTGTTGATGACATCTACTGGGATATTGCTGATATTTTACACACCTGTGTTTTAATTAGTTTACATTGGTCATTCAGTTTTACCAGGCAAAAGGCAATCCCCCCAACCCCAAACACTTTGATTACATGAAACAAAAAGATTTGCATTCACACTGAAGTTATACTGCCACAACATTACTCTAAATCCATTTTTACCTGACAGTACTCTATGGCAACAGAGTGTGTATATGTGATATGTGCAGGCACAGCCCCTCAATGTTAACACGATAAATAGGTCAACACGATAAATAGGTCATTATACAATTATATTTATTCCATGTAGAAATTGTTTTTTTGCTCATTATTAAGTGGTAAATAAATATAAATGGATAATCTTATATTGAGTTTTACAGAAGAAATGTGTAATAGGTGTGTTGTCACTCCTAGTTTATACAGCTGACTAATTGTGATAAATATTCCTTTCTATATTATTTTTAATTATTAAATTGCTCAGTTTCTTCATTTTAAGTTTCATACTTTATTATTGCTTCTTTTAATTATTTTTTTTTTTTAAAAAACACTTGATATTACTTACCGGGTAATATTTTCCTAAAACACAGTAGTATTTTTAGCTAAATAGATTTTTTTTTTACCATAATTGTTTCTATTATGATATTTTTATCTTTTTTTATATACAAATGATTGATATAATTAAAACTAGAATATTTCCCTTTTTTACGGTAATTATAATTTAGGGGGTTCTAATCTAATCAATAGATTCAATAGAATAATTAATCTTGTTATAGGTTTACTTAAAGTTATTGAACAGAATTTTCTTATCACTGATCGAATATGAGTAGCCATGTATAATGTTGTTTGGGAGCAAGTATCAAATGAATAGTTGTGTCATTTATAAAGGTATTTCCTATATATTGTTAACTATTGACTAACATGTGCCTTGCTTATTTTATTGTTATCATCTAACCCATTATTTTATATTTAACCTCATTTTATCATATTATCAGGTTTATACCTAATTGTTTGTATTGTTAATATCATCGTTTTAAACATCAACAGATGTTTTCACTTTGTCTCATTTATGAAATGTAGATAGATGTACAATATGTAGAAATGTCTTGTATGTAACAGAAAGAATGCTTTCTTTGCATCAGTTCAAATTTTTATTTTGCACAAAAGGTCGCCATGTGAAAGAAACATGATATTTTTTCAGTAAAGAAAGGGAAATGTTATTTTTATAATTTTATGGTAAGGGTTTGCAAATTAAAGAGTCAAACTTTGGGCAGCAAGGGGGAATATCACTTTAAGGTAATTCTTGTCTTTGTGATTATGTTGGCAAATTATTTGGAGATACGCAAAATGAAGTTATTTTAATATAGAATATAGTACCATCAGTCCTAATGAGCTATAATTATATATTTAAAAAAAAAAAGACAAATTAACTAGCATACCCACTTTAAAAGTAGTAGCAGGTGTTTGAAAAAGAGTTAGCACAATCTGCATTATGTACAACACCTATCACAGCTATAATAGCATGTAAGTTGGATATATACAGAATGATTGATGTTTGTGAAATAGAATTGAGATGATAGAAGATGTAAACATTTTATACTTATGAACAATATTCTGATGATGATCATAGAATATTTTAATGTCGCTTATCTGGGTAGTTTGCTTGTTATTATAAGTATACCCTTAAAATGTAGATCTATTTTTAAATTTCTCACATACTTGTAGAAATGAAATCCATATCGAGTAGAAATATTTTTTGAATGACCAGTAGATAGCACCTTTCTTTTACGCAACGACACATAAAAAACATTTTTATGTATATTTTTATATATTATATTGGATATATAAGTACCTTGGTCAGGGTGATTGATAATAATTGTATATAAATTTCTACAAGGCTATATATTTGTTATGTAATGCTTTCTTTTTTTTTTTTCGAACTGAAAAATGTGACTGATGTGGCTGTGTGTCAATTTTTAAACATAATTCATCAATGCATTTAGAATATACATCCATGTTAGTTGAATAAGCGCTGAATAATATTAAACATAATTTATTGATAAATTTGGAATATACATCCATGTAAATTATATTAGTGATTAATTTTTGATGAATGATATTAAATGGTGACATCGCAATAGAAAGTGGTAAATTCTTTTTACTCAGTCTTTAAATAAAATGAAGCTATGCACTCTTAAGATTACTATAGAGGTCTAAAAATGATGCAACATTGTTCTTGAAAGAAAACATGAATAACAGTCAATTGTGAACATCAATTAACTAATTATCATTCCATAAGCATCATAAACTGCTAAATCCAACATTGTTCTTAAAAGAAAACATGAATAAAAAGTCAGTGGTGAACAACAATTGACTAATTATCATTCCATTAGCATCTGCTAAAATACCAAAAAAATTGCTTATTGTTTATCACTTGCATTCTTACAAAATATCTATAAGAAATTTTATTAAGTTAAATTACTGCACCCACACAGTTTTACAATCCATTTCTCTTAGTTACTATAGTAGGCTTTAGTTTAGGCATCAGCTTGTGATCACCATCATGTAATTTTTTAAAAACAAGGATTAAAATGGTAAAAACAGCTTTTCAATATTTATCACATTGGTAGGAAAATTATATTATATTTCCTTTAAATATCAGAGCCTAATTTCAGGTTAAACACTTTTTTCACACTGGATCACTGCACACATAAATTACCATCATAAACAAAAATATTATGTAATCTTTAAGTGGCATTTAGTGGCATTTAAAAATATTATGGCTGCCAACTTCCTTTATGTTAAACAGCAATTCATCTATAGTTTTGAAGCAACAAGCTTTGATAGAATGCAAACTAAAGAATTGAATATTGGGGCATATATATTTATCCAGATAAAGTTAATATGGAAGTTATATCTATGAATTATGTTATAAAATTGATAAACAGCTAGTATTAAACTGTTATTGTATAGTATTATGATATGTACAATATTTCATAATAATAAATTTGTTATATTGTAGGTGCTAATAAAAGCATGAAACACAATTCACCTTGTTTTGTTTTTGTATGAGGAAGTTTGAAAGAAGATATCAATCACATTTACCAATAAAATGAACGTACAGTAATTCATTAAAAAAAAACTGGACCCCCAAATAATTAGAACTTCAGGCACCTTTACTGGAGGAGAGAGAGAGAGAAATGGGTTTTAATGTCCACTTGACACAAACTAGGTCATTTCGAGACTAACACATGGTTAATTTTATTTCAATAATTCGCTTGCGCGTAGGGGTCTTTAGCAGTGGGAGGAAACCGAAGGACTCGGAGAAAACCCACGAGGTTGGACAGGGGACCCTACTCCTTGTCACGTACAACCGGGGAATCAAAACTACACCAGTTGACTCAATGACAGACTTTATGGTACAGCGCGCACGTGCTAACCATTCAGCCCTCCAACCCCCCTTTACTGGAGGAACTTCTCAAAAACCATTAAAACTTTTCATTTATGACTGTGTGTCTCAGCAGAGATTTGCCAGTTTTCTAAAATTTTGCATAAGATTTAATTTGAACACACTCAATTCAACTATTTTTGTCAAATTAAATTTAGTAATTAGTAAAACAAGCGGTTGTCATGCAGGATATATCCATATTTTGCAAGAGATGGATAGAGAACAAGCTAAAAAAAAAGATTTTTCGTACAATCGGGACATGATCCAGAAATTTAAGGTCCGATACGTGCAGATATTGAAAGGAACCCAGACCTTTGGCATATCGACATATGTTTAAAGCTTCATCAAAACCATTAAAAATTGTGTCCTCTAGAGGTTCCACAACCTTGGTATGGTTTAAGGGTGTCCAGGCAATGTATTTCCCTCATAGAACACTGCATGGAATTTGGGCCTCTTCATTTGCCCAGTTGATGCCTAACAGAAAGACATTAAACACCATCTCATTTTGCTGGAGTCTGTTTGATGATATTAAATTATTGGATTTTCAAATTATTTCTACTTCCATAGTTCCTCAAAGGACCACTGGCGAGAAAAAGTTAGGTCTTTTAAAAGATGAATGGAAGTAAATTATCTTGAAATTAAAAATGTAATAAAAATTACTGCTACCAGCGGTTGCCAGGCAAGATACGCCCACATTTTGCAAGAGATGGATAGAGAACAAATTAAAAGAAAAAGAGATTTTTCATACAATTAGGGGCCATAATCCAAGAAATGCGCGAATATCGAAATGGGCTGAGATATTTGGGATATAAAGATATCTTGTAAGTTTCTTCAAAAGCGGATAAACATTGTGACTTCTAGAGGTTCCACAACCTTGGTATTACATAATTTTACACTATTTGCATACAAGGAGTGGCAGTTTGGGTCAATTTTTTACAAATTTTGAACTCAAGCTTCATTGATGTGTAACGGTCATATATTTAAACGTTTTTTTAAAATTGAATACAAATTGTGACTTCTAGCGGGCTCAGGGGCGATAATCCAGGAGTTACGCTCGGATATGCGCAATTAACTAATGGAACCAAGATCTTCGTGATATAAACATAAATTTAAAGTTTCATCAAAATCGGATCAAAATTGTGGCCTCCACAACCTTGATATACCATTTATTTACACTATTTGCATACAAGGGCCGGCCATTTGGTCCCATTTTCATGAAATTCTAGCTCAACCATCATTAGGGTGTAGCGGAGATATATTCAAATGATTTTTCAAATCGGATAAAAATTGTTACCTCAAGAGGCACCACAAGCTAAAAACATGATTTTTTGTACAATAAGGCGCCATAATCTATGAAGTTATGGTCCGATACATGCCAATATCAAAAGGGACCAAGATCTTTGGGAGATAGACCTATATTTCAAGTTTCATCAAAATCGGATAAAAATTGTGACCTGTAGAGTGTCCACAAAAATTGTGGAGGGACGTCGGGACTACTTTCACATGAAAATGTAGGCGTATAAAAATACCAAAGGATATTTTATCTCTTTGAGGGTGGAGAAATATATATGATTATAAAATGAAATTGAAAAGTTGACCAAAAAAAATGGAACTCGGAGTGGCCATTGACAATATATAAAACAAAATGTATTAATGTTTTATTATTTTATTTGACAGTATTATGGTGGTGATAAGAATACTGTATATAATATATAAGTTGATTATTTTAATGAAGAGTGATATTCTCACATCATGTACAAAAACATAATATATTATCATCTATTATATTCACTGTAAATATATAATGTGTTTGTGAGAGGAAGAACAATGGGTGATATTATTTAGTTAGGCATGTATTGTGTGAAACAGTGCACTGCAGTAAAATAAATAGCATATAAAAATATATCAGACTTGTTCACTATCAAATTAACTAAATCAGTGTTCAATTTAAAGATAGAAACGGATGCAAGTTTAAACACAGTAGAGGCAATTTTCTCAACATCGCAGTGTATGAACAAAATAAAATTTGTTTGGCTTCTAGTATCCATAATTATATTAGCCTCTAGCGAGGCAACTGATGAGGATGACCACAATATGCTACCACATTTCAATATCTTGCTCTCAAAGTTCATATTTTTACTCAAACAGAGATCATAAATTTGTCCGTTAAGGGGCATGGATAATACAGATTGCAGCTAATTAAATTTTTATAGACTACAATATCAACATGTGCTACAATTTCTTCTAGTAGTTCAATTATACCATTCTTCTGAGTATGTAAATAAGATGTCCTTAGATCAATGGTCACTTAAAATTTAAATTATTGAACAAGTCTGATACATTTGTTATTCCAAAAATAAACCATGATAATGATTATACATGTAGTTATATTAATACAATCATAATAATAATAATGGCCACACAAATCCACAGTGGCAGGAATTTAACACACTTCATTCTGTAACATGTTATTATATTAAGCCAGCTTATATCTAAATATTGCTACATTTATAAATTATATTGAAAAAATAAACAATTGCTATGTACAATAACTATCTAAAAGTCTTCTCAGCTATTCAAATTCATACAAGTTTCCCTTCAAAAATGAGGATTTTGCACAGGTCAACTTCAGAATTGATTATTTTTTTATATAAAAAAACATGGAAGTTTATTTACAATTCAAACACACACAATGATTAAATTTATTGCATTGGAATTGTGTGAAATCCTTATCACACATTGTCACACAGAAATCTTTGTTCTTAAATGTAATAAAGCTCTTTGAGTATTTTGCGAACCTTGACCTTCCATTAATTTGAGCTTTAATCATTTGCATCCATATTCACTGTTCATTCATCTTTTTTTCTTGATTTTTTTTTTCTTTTTTTAAAAAAATGGATGAAATGGTACCTTGAATTTATTTAAATTGTGAAAATAAATTTTTTTGTCTCGCACGGCAAGTCTTATAAATAATAATTAATTAAGCACTTTCAAGTTGTCATTGTCACCATCTCTATAAATAGAATATTCACATCTGCCATTTTCTATATGACAATAAAAATAGCACAACCACAATCACACTAAAAATGTGATCACTTTATAACTGTACAACTGTACATGTGACCACTTCCATGTTTCTTCCTTCTGCCATTTTTGTTGCCTTAACGATTTGACTAGCAGACGTACAAATGTACCGTAACTAACAGAAGTCTGTTGGTGGAATAATGGATTTCTTCGAGTCGATGTTTAACACAAAACACTTCAATTCTTTGACTAGATATGAAATAAAATGGACGAATACTTAATATGATTCTTTTTTCTTCAAATCTTTCGCTTCTTATTTGAAAATGATTGCACGATGTTGAGCGAATATGTTGTCCATTAAGTATATTTTTGCAGGTCCATCAAACTGTTGAATATTTTTGTTGAAAATTACATTCAATCAGATGAATCTTGATGTTTTTTAAAAATTAAAATTAATATAAATTAATATTTCTTTATCTACACATTTGTAGCTAGTTTACTGCCACTGATACTAGCTGGGGGTAACTGGGAATTAGGAACCGGTGTACTCCTAAAACTACTATAACCATGTAATGTATCATATCTGAAATTATACAAATATTTCAATTACAATGTATGATATAAAGGCATTGATATCTATTTATTTTATGGCTAACATGTTTTTTTTGTCTTCTAGATCCAATATAGTTCACTGTCATGGTATCTTATTACAACTAGACAGATAAATGGTGATGGGAATATCAATTCCTAATAGCAACTGCAGGAGAAATGCATATAACAACCAACTAGAAATACAGAAGATAAATACCCTGACATGATGAAATACACCAACATTTATAGTCAAACAAACTCTAGTGAATGGATCCAGGGCTAGCCACAAGTCTCCACTTAGCTTCCCTGTCCGTAGTCAGTGTCTACAGTTCAGTACACTCAACGTAAATCATATTTTTATTAAAATTATTCCCTGTACCTATGCTTTACTAAAGCAGATCATGTGTTCTATAATAAAATAAATCTAAATGCTGAAGAACTGGTGGTTGTATAAATGGGTGAAATGTATAAATCAATAATATAAGTATATATATCCTACCTATCTACAGGTTCAATAACATCATTAGCACTAAGATATTCCTCCTCACCAGGTTGTCGTTCTCTGTATGTATTTAAAGGATATGGTTCTATAAACCCATACGAATTATTATTGCCTTTATTTTCCTACAAGATAAAAATAATCAGAGATTCAAATTATTTATCTTCTATTTCAGAAGGACAGGTGAATGATTAATGCATGTGCCTTGTAGATCACAAGGTCTGTCATCTATGCAAGTGTCAGAAGTTCAATCAAATAAGCTCAAGAGTTTTTTCTGGGATCTTCAGTTTTCCTCCACTGTCAAATGCATGTACATGCATTGAATTGTTGAAATACCAAATGCTAGTCCAAAAATTTGTTTCTGTTGAGTGGACGTTCAACCTCAAACAAAAGGCAGATGATCTCCCATGTTGTCTATTATCTCCTTCGTATGGTATGGCATACATGGAATAATATAATTGTTCCAGTCTAGATTAAAATAGAGCAAAAGCAATGACTTACTTTGCCATAATTTAATTCATCATAATCAGCTGAATATCGGTAAAAATCTTTATTATAATCTTGTCTCCATTGATCCATTAAAGTAGATGGTGAATCAGATTTTTCACGTTTTTTATTTTCAGTACTGCTATCTGTATCTGTATAGGAACCTAAAATAGATGAAAATTGACTTCAAACATTTTTCACTGATTAAAGCTAACTGTAACATAATTTGTCTGTATACATCTTTAACTGTAAAATAACATGCCTGGAATTACAATGATATTAAAATTCCTAGTTAGTTCTATAACTGGAAAGGATTTCCTTTCAATCCAATATATTTCAGGAGTTGTCCCCCTTTAATCTCCAGACTAATTTTACAATGAAAGTTTTCATTATAAATCAAAATTTATATTCCTAGATTAGAATTATGCCAGGACAGCAGCAACTGAGTGTGGTAATTTATAGATGGTTTAATATTAATAAACTATAGCTTACCCAGTACACTATTAGTATCAGCTGATTTATATCTATTATATAATACACAGACTAATACTATAACAAATATAACTGTTATACCACCAACTACACCACCAATTATATATGGTAACGGTGGAACCACTGAAATATATAATATATAATAAACTACACCACTAATTATATATGACAATATTGGAACCACTGAAATATATAATAAACTACACCACAAATATTTTGCATGTTGGAAACAACAAAATATATGATATATAATAGATTAAATTTATATATGGCAAAGGGGGAAGGTGGAACCATTGGAATATATAATGAACTATACCAACATACATTAATGGTCGAAACACTGAAACGAATATAATCTACACCACCATGGAATTATTGAAATATATACAAACTTTACACAAAATAATTAATGTTTTTATATTCATTCTGTTAATACCCTTATTACACATTGCACTTTAACCTGACGAAAGCAGATTTAAATCCAGGACATTCTATGACTGATCTCCTAGAACTGCCTTGAACACCCCTACAGAACCATAGAATAAACCCATGTATAAATAATACTATACATACCTTTTTCTATAAGTTTTATTGTAGCTATATCTTGACCGTAACTATTAGATACACTACAGTTAAAATCACCAAAATCATCTTCATGAATATTCAATATTTGTAGCGTACTCTTTCTTCCAAATGGTAAATCTTCTTCTTTAGCTGAGTATCTTCCGGATGAGGCGTAGTTTATTGGTTGACCATTTCTCAACCAGACGATATTTTGTGGTAGAGGTGCAGAATATGTTAAACATTCAACACGAGCTGTATCACCTTTACTAGCATATTGTTGAACTTCACTCATTATACGAGGTGGACCTAAACAAAACAAAGTTTGGTCAGTAACATAGTTGATATAATTATCATTAAATCATATTAAAATAAATGTTTAAAAATTTATAATAATCTCAATGGAGGAAAACTGAATAAAAGAATATATGTAACAAAATTTTGATTGTTTTACATCTGAGCTGACTGAAGGACACAAGTATTACATGTACTTTCAGGCAGGGGCATAATACAAGCTTTAAACTAATAAGTTCAACATTAAATAACTATCTTAAATCAAAAATCATGCCAAATCAATTTGCTGCTCTCCAGAAATAAAGTAGTCTGTGATTTTAATCAATGACAACTTACCATTTTGAAGTAGATATATTTCCCGACTGATTTCACTGAAACCCATGACTGTAGCTGTACATATATAAATACTCATGTCTTTTTTCTTAACTGATTGTATTTTATATATTGGTGTACTGCCCAGTACATGATTAGAACCTTTCTTTGTCCATATTATACTAGGCGTAGGATTACCGTCTGCTTGACAGTGTAGTGATACATCATCACCAAGGTCAACTGTAGCATGTTTAGGTGAACCAATGAATTTTGGACCAACTGAAATATTGAAAAGAATTGATCAGTGGAATGTTAATTAACCCTATAGTAATTGGTGCATGTAACCAATGACTACCCCAGTTCCTTGAAGATAAGTTATCCTAGAGCAAAGTGACATACTGGCAGTTAAAATACAGATGTGACGTCATCCTTTGATGTTGGTGTACCATTATTTCCAATAATGTACGGGCAACTTGCCAATCGTACATTATCTATACTAGATGAAATATTGGACTCGCGTGAGGTATTTCATTGAAAAGCATGTGCAGGATAGTGTCTGTATTTTAAGTTGAGACATTGCGTAATATATTGAAACAACACTCGGCCAACGTCTCGTGCAGTATCAATATATTACTTATTGTCTCACTTTCGACCATTAAACCACGCTTAATACCAGTATAGCCCTCTCATTCTTGTATATCTGGCGCACCACAGCTGTTCATGTGACTCAGACAGTTTGGCGCATTCTAAGGATCCATAGTTTGGGGCGGTTCAAGTTCTATAGGGTTAAAGATTTCTCACTTTATTTACATGTTACATGATCACATTTCCAACCTATTTTTTAACATTTCAAATGACTACAAGAGGATATAGTAAAACATATTCAAATCTGTCAACTAAAAACAACTCTAATATGATTTGAAAAGTTTAATGTTTGCCTACGGTTAACACTGATGAGATGAAGATAGTGGATTTAAAATATTTTTAGTTTGTACTCAATGTTAAGAGATTATCTAGCCTAACATCTTTTTATTACAATGTAAATAATACTATTTCTCCCTTTTAAATTAATCTTTTTTCTTAAATAGGTGCCTATTGGAGAATCGTGGATATCCAAGCAAATACAATATTAGTCTACTCTTTATTAACAAAACATTGTTTACATATTTTGTTCAATGTACAAAGTAAAATGGACTAAATATTACAAAATAACTTACAATGAACATCTAATTTATGATGTTTTCTAGTTGAGCCTACTTCATTTGTAGCTTCACATGATATAGTGTCTTCATGATAAGTTCGGGTGATTTTTGGAATGTCGAGAACATTACGAGTTTCATCCAATATTTCTTGTTCGTTTTTATACCATCTGTAAAATTACAAATAGAAATATCAATAAAACCTCATAATCGCTAATAAAAAGTTAAATCAGTTTCTCCACAGAAAAGTAGAAAACTCTTCTTACCACTCAGCATTTTCTTAAAATGAAACTAAATGGAGCTAAAAACCTGAAAAAACTAGCAATTCCCTATTTTTCCGACTTTGGGAACAAAATATCAAATTGTGAATGGTTTTGTACAGTGTATGACAGAATCAATAGTGTAAAATGTAGTGGTATGGAGATATTATTTGTCTTGTTTCTGTCCAATACAGTACATATAACAAATATTTAACGTTCTGACTATTTACTTCTCCCAATGATTCCTATATGATAGAGCAACTGTCTTCCATCTTAATGTCATCTTGTAATCTCCTTTAGTCAATCATATCATGATGATAACCTTGACTCATAGATAAATTGGTACTACACTTTATCCTGAGCAGTCATTACAATTTTAACTAATCATAAAGGATTTCTACAAAGTGAGCAGGGGCTATAACTCTAGCGGTAATTGATAAAAATTGCTGAAATTCAATAAGATTCTTTGTTTCACCAATCTAAACAATACATACAAATTTAAAAGTAGATAGATGATAACTGTTGTTGCTAATACCCAAATTGTACCAGTCAGACTTTGTTTTGGTTACAAGTGAGCATGGGCCATAACTCTAGAAGTAATCAATGGAAATTGTTGAAATTAAATGGCCTTTTTCGTTGTATAAATGTGAACAATGTATATCAATTGCAAGAAGATTATTACTAGTAACAGCGCACAGACAGGCCAACAGACCGACTATAGGATAGGACAACAACACAGAAACTGTAGTGCACAACCGTGCCCCACCCCCCACCCCCATAATCGGAACCTACAATTTTCTATACAGCATGGTAAGTGATAAGCAAGACATCCCAAAAAGCATACAGTCAAATACAAGACAGAAATACAGCCTGATAATGTACACCATACACTAAATGACATTATTATTACTATAATATTCATGAAAATGTTTATAAAATACACTTCCAATAAACACAGGAATTAAATATATAACTTACTTCCAGGATATACTCGCAGGATTAGCACGTCCGCTACATGTTATTCTTAAAAAATCATATTCTTTGATAGTTTCAGATTTATTTATACTCATGTGTACTTCTGGTACATCTGAAGAAAGAAAATAATGAAATTAATTATTTCAACCTATTTCGTATTACTTTATATTTTTATTTATATTAATTACAGCAATAACTATAGGCAATTAAGTCAAAAACATCAAGAATTGGACAATGATTATAATTTATTCATTCATTTAAATAAATTATGATCACATTTCATGTTTCACATCTTACAAGCAAAAGCGTGAAATATTGAAGTGGGATTTAATTAGCATCAAAAATAAATTTTTAAAAAAAACCCACAACGAGTGAAAAGTTTTTCAAATTAAAACAACATTAACAGAGTGAATAAATGAACATTAAAAAAAAAACTCAAATTAATTTCAACCCTGCAGAGAAACTTGGGCGATTAACGGAATTACTTTTAATCAAGAAGCAATAAATGACATGACTGTGGTTGATGAATTCAAAGACCAGTTGACAAAATAAATTACTATAAATCAAGCGACAGTGCGTGACAGTCTCGAGGGGTTGGAGCATATGGTTCACTGCCATAAAAAATATGATGTGTCATTTGTCATGTTGGTGATAGCAGAAACAAAGCATCTCTCAACATTGATTGATTTTAAAAAAAAAACACTGCTTTAATTAATGATGGTTTGTCCCCAATGAGAGAGAGAGAGAGAGAGAGAGAGAGAGAGTTTAACATCTACTTGACATTAATCTTGTGATTTCAATAATTTACAGATGACCCTTTACCTACAAACCCTGAATTGAACTCATGACTTGCATAGACAACAGGTCTTATGACATATAGTGCATACCTTAGACCATATGGTTATTCAACCTCCTTCTATTTAAAACAGTTACATGCATATTTTGGAAGGATTTATTTTTTTACTTACACTGAACATCTATTGTAGCCGAAACTATATAAGGCTCGGTCATGGCCTCATTTTGAACCAAGCATTTAATCGTCTTGCCTGCATCATCTAATGTAGCATTCATGGTGACAATACCGATAGTGTCCACTCGTTTTCCATCTTCCTTCGGTATACTTCTGGAAAATACTGACTTTCTAATGCGTCTGTCTTCTCTATACCATGTGACATCAGCAGCAGGTTTACCATTTAACGCTCTACACGATATATTTGTAGGTCTACCTTTAACAATTTCTATTTTAGGTCCACCATCAATAGTAGGAGGTTCAGGAGGCACTGAAGAAATAAAGAATAATTTATAATATAAGACCTATATGTTATATATCATTACTACATTCATTCATACAAGTGTAGAGAGAAAGAGTCATGTCCACGATTTTAATTGTGGATAGATTGATAGAGGCAATTAGTGACAACAAGAAACATCTGTATTACAGAATTAACTGATCATCTTCAATCAAATTTTGGAGAGCACAGCATATCCTTCAACCTTCAGTACTATAGCAACAGAAACAACCACCAGCATGGACCAGCAACCGAACATAATGTATTTGCAGCAGTCTTTGAATTGTCATATCAAAGATAGGGTGGGGGGCTGGATCAATACAAGATTATAGGTACCAAACTCATTGGCCTACCCTCAGAAAAAGGCCCGCCCCCTGCGACTTTAAAAAGTTTTGTACAAAATACGGCAAATAACTGATTTTTATAAAATTTCAGGAAGCAGCCCACCGCCGTTAAACTGCAACATTTAGCTTGATGACGTATGATCTGCTTTGTAATAATAACAGTAGGACGTTAAACCACATTTCATTTCATTTTTGCTTTGTAATAATCATATTCAACATATTCATCTCTTTAAGATTTGATGTAGTGAGAATTTAAGCAGTACGAAATTGTGAAAATGTATTAAAAAGAAACCGAAAATGGACTGTCAAGAACGATTTCGCTCAGAAGAACCATTTTGGGATCCGGACATAGTGTTCCTGCTGCTGAAATACCATCCTCCAACCAAACTACTGACGAAAGGCAGCTTTATATTCATGATCCGTAATGTGTTGATGGATGGAAAGGGAGTTGCCACTGAACAATCAGCATTTAGAGAGGTGGCAAAACTGGTAGACGCAAAGTTCTTTCATGATAGCGCCTTCTGTCTCTCTGCTTTGACTATTTATGCCAAGTTTTATGTCGGTGTTGAATTGGCAGAGCCTTACATTTTTTTTGAAGATTGTCGTCCCCAAGAAAAACAACAAGGAGATGAGTAAACACTTGGGGCCAGTTGCTGGTCCAAAAATCTATTTAAAATGTCTATATAAAAATATAATTGTTATACTTTTTGATAAACTATAAAAAAATCATAATGCTAAATATTTAACAGCAATTATGATTTGATGTTTGAACACTGATGCATGTCTAATTCTCAATTTCGCTTTTAATGGTTCGTTGTAAAATTCAGATTAATTTCGTAAAACGTATTCTTTTCGTTCTTTAATCATATCTTTATGAAGATAATGGGGATAATTTCAATTTTAGCATACACCGTTATCAAATAAAAATCATCTGGCCAATTACAGGCCTAATGCTTATGCCAATCTGATTTAAATATAGTATGGATAAAAACATCATACATCATATTTCAAACTCTAAATTACAGTTGTACGGAAACAGGTATCATTAATTCTAAGTGATATTGACAATAAAGACCAACAGATAGCTAACTTTATCTTTAATTCTAATGGGTTATGTCTATTTTATCTTGAAAGATGAAAATTCTATTGATTCATGTGAAGTGAAATTCTCTAATCAAACAATCATTGAATATCCCTCTCTCGACTAATCACACTGTTGTAATAATAATACAACCATTACAAAAAAATTGTACAACTAACAGTCTAAGGATTTCTCTTCAATTATTCAATATTTTCAAGACAAAAGCATCAAAGCATGCAAAAAGATGAAGTCGAACATGAAAAGAAATTGTTAATTATTTTTGCATCTTAAAGAAGCTATGTAGAGGAATATCACTTCAACCACACGTGAGAGGATACCCGAAAGCAATCAGTTTTGTGATAAAGTGTTGTCTGCTCAACTGATATTACAAAATGCAGACAGCATTAGATTTCAAAAGTTCAATATCTGCCAAGAACAGGACTAAAAATTCCTTTTGATAATCTGACCAGTCCACTGACTATCATGCAAGTGATGAAGTCCAACCATATAGAAGAAATTCACCTGCCTAATCAGAGTATTAAAACTCTAGCATGGCGTAACAAACCAACAAATTCACTCCTTTAGCTTTATTATGTGGCTTTTCAATATTGTTATATTAGAATAGGATTGTATCAATGGATTTTTGGTTATAAGTACCTCTCAGATTTCCTACCAGATGGCTCTAGTTTTATTTCCTTAATATGATTACAACACAAGAATATTACCACTTTACTTTCTATACTAATCCACTTAAAATTTATTTGAAAAAAATCTCTGAATGAAATATTAATGAGTTTTCTCTTTATCTTTACATCCTTTTTATCTCTCATACATAGAATTAAGAGTTAATGACTCAATCTTCAAATGTAATTCAATCTAATTTAATCGTTAAGATTTCATAGACAACTCTCTTCAAGTTTTTACTATATACAGTTCAAATTTCAGGAAATCAAATACTTAAAGCAATTTTTATAATAGTTCTTTGTGATTTTATATTTTAAGACCGAGGCATTTTAAATTTTAACAATGCACATTTAACAAATTAAAGACAAAATAAGAAGAGAACCCTTTTCTTTTTTTGGCACATTCTTTATACGAGGTCAGGATGAACTGACCTGATTCTTGCAGCTGTTTTAACTAAAATGACAATAAATTAGATGAAAATATTTTTTCAAGAGAAGTGTGTTTGTCGTTGTAAAGTAAGTAAATTATACATACACAGAACATTTAATTTTGCCGTCTGACTGCGGATACCTTTGACCATATCTGTTGCACCAACTTGACACTGATAGATGGCGTCATCTTCCAGCTGGACATCTATAATTTGTAGATTATATTCACCTGTAATTAAAAGAAGATAAATATGATTTACTTATTGACCATACAAAATCATTGATCCCTGAAAATACATCAGTGCTAAACAATCACGCCCTTATAAATGTATTGTTAGGAAATCAAAGGGCATGAATCATCACTTATTCACCCAACAGATTTTTCAGTAGGGGTGGGGATGGTGGGGATGGTGGAGAAAGGGAATGAATAATCAACTTTGAGCCACTAAATCCTAATATTGTATATTCAAAATGCCAGATGACGATATGACATGCTAACCTTACGATAGCTGACATAATACATATTGGTCTTGTATAATTTCCCATTTTATGTGTGCTCCCTACCCCCACTATCTATTGAAAATCATATACAATGAAATGGACCAAACATATACCAGTACATAGATATGTACAGTTTATGTGTTTTATTTAGTTTTTAATGGAATCAAAGTAGTGGTGATTTGCCAAGGTTGTGTATCTTGAGTTTTAATTATCATCTGTAAATATCAACTTGGCTGTATTTAAGTCGTTGTTTTTTGCCCCGCTATTTGAGACACGTACTCTGCCTTGTTTTGTTATTTATATTTATTAGGAAGAGTTTATATTTGTATATTAATCCATCTGCTTGGCACTGATGATAATATAAATCAATTACTTATGTTACAGGAAACATAAGAATCCATCTTTAATCCTCAATAATTAGTTCCCCTCCTGACAGTTATCCTAGCATTTATACCAGGTTTTTTTTTACAATATACAAGTTCTTTATTATTAAGTGCATGGATGTGGTGGAGATGGAATCAAAGCCAGCTACAGAATGCAATGAAAACTTGACTGATCGCCATTAGTATTTTCTGACTATATCAGATTTATTTCATGAATTAATCCACGCTAATATGTATTCAAATTCAATATTTAACATTTAATTCAAAATATCAATGATAGCTAATCTCTGGGTTTGGATTCAATGGTTTAAAAATGGCCCATCAAAATAATTTAGAGAATATCATAGGTGGCTTACGTTTGTTTTGACCATATCCCATTTATTTGTGCTTCTTTATAAAATAAATAATCATATACAAATTGGCTTTGAGAATATTATCATGCACTCGCTTCAGAATCTCCTGTTTTCAGATGGTGATTTGACCATATTTCATTTGACAGTTTCACATTTAAAAATATCTTTTATGTAGTAAGAATTCATGGAACGTGTGAGTTTTGTTCTCATTATTAAAACATCATTAAGCAGTAATACATTCGTGCTTGTCTAAATTGATAATGAAGCCCAACCACTGCAGTTCCAAACATGTAGCAGCCATTTTGGAAATTTGCAACCATTTTGGAAATTTTGTACACTTTCAAAATAAATACATACAGAGTTTTGGCGACATGTCACAAGCATATTCCAGTAAGACCTATGATATGGAGCATGGAAAATATCTTGGAAAAGTTATGTAAGGTGTGTCATATATCCCATATAACTTTGGTCTCCAAAAAAACCCAATAATTGAACAGATGGTTATTCAATTTAAAACATGGTGGATCATTGATAGACTGTATGAGCATCAAATACTATCAGTGTTCATTAGTCTTAATATGGTTGGTATTTGAAGTATTGTATAATCTCAACTGACAACAATTATTGTAATTTTAAAGGAGGAGATTTGTCTGTCTGGGAATCTTAGCATGCATTATCAAATAAAATTCATGTCAAAGTATTTTTTCATAAGCAGGAGGTGTGGTGGGGATTAAAATGAGAAATCTGTTAAGATTCCATAATTATACAAAATAAGGAAAACTGTCTGCTATCTATTCTTTTAATTTTTCATTTCTTACTGTTAGAACAATGATGTAAAGATTTATCATAAATATGTTAATCCCTGAATGATCTAATTTTGTGGAGTTAATTTAAACACCCACTGAAGAGATATTTTAGTAGTTACAACACTAATAATAAACTCATTGAATTAAGAAGGTATTAAAAGCATTGGTATATAAATAAATGTATTGTTAGGTAATTTGGGAGTTTTTGGCAATAGACCAATAACAAAACTTTTTTTTTGTGGGGGGGGGGGGGAATCGTCACTAACTGATTTCTGTTAGCAAATAGAATTCACTAAAGTGAATTTAATGTTCTAATTCTATTCTATAGTGAAACATTAAAATTCTCTCAATACCAAACTAACAGATCTCAGTATTTTATTTGTACAAATCAAGTTCCAGCTAGAGTTCTACTACTTGTGGATCAAGAACATCCTCACTGACGCTCTTAATGCATATCAAATTGACCATGGCAAATCTTCACTTAATAAAACTCTTAAATGGCCGCATCAGTCATGTTTTCATTCAGATTGATTTTGTTCCCAAGGGTTGACAAAGTATCCAAGGCAAATAGCCCTGGGCTTGTAACAAAAATGAATCTTTCAGATTTTGTGGTCAATTGTCTCGCATCTGTCGTTTTCCCGATTTCTGTTGGCTAGATACTGACACGGTTTACCGGCCAATATATATGTGACGGAATTGAGAAAATGCTTTGGGAGCTTTTAGATAATCGAGTTTCCATAATTCAAATGAATGTCAACTTCTATTAACTCTTTAAGTCTGCGATTCTAAGGGTTTTTCTGGCCAAATTTTATACAGGAACTCGCCATAGACAATAGATCTAGTTCACTTCTGCAAAGATAGGAAGCAGAAGTACAGATACGGTGGACTGAGTGTAATCTAATTGTACCCAACAATTGTACATGCATTAAGATTAATGGTTGTCAGAGGTTTCACTTTGATATTCTTTGATAAGGACAGAAATTTTCATTTAAATGATTAATTGAAAAGAATGAAAAAACATTAACATGAAAACTAACGATTCAAGAAGTCTGCTATTCCGTGGATTTGTATTTTATACAACCATTCCATTTATTTCCTCATTTAAAGGATTTATCAGGAAATCTCACCCAGTTTATCTCAGATTTTCAGAAAAATTATTTTTTGATTTCATTATTTTAAGGCTGTTATTTGTATTTTAATTTAATACTAATTTGATTAATTAATACTTTCCTTAAAATCAGAAACTGGGGGGGGGGGGGGCTGGGGTGTCCAGTCGGAGGTTTCCATCAGTATCCATATATTCCCAATGTTATTGCGAGTAATAATTCATGCTGTCATGAGGTTAATCATATTTGATCAGTATATTTAATAACTATCTTGATAATCTGTGGTATCTGGCAATTAATCACGAACTGCGTATTTTGGTGCGATCTTGATAAAAATAGTACCTTTCTTGATCCAGATCACCAAACATGTCCATTTGACCCATGTTAATGTGCTTAGCCCCCCTCGGACTGTCAAAAACAGACCACTATCCATCAAAGAGTGTTTTAATGAGTCATCTGGTATCTAAATTGGATAGTTCCAACAACAAAGCAGCCAACCCTTGATTAATAGGTTAATGCTATATAATTGGCTCACCAACTGAGTCCATTGTTAATCAATAATCACATCAGTGTAGACCACATTTTTTCATTATTATTATGAAATGTTTTGTAGCAGACCCAGTGATTCTATATCTGACTGAAACTCGATGACCATGCAGGGGATTTGTTGTATGATTACTGTGGTAGTACAAGGAAGAATCTCGCTTCACAAGACAGTCCAGATGACCTTGCACTAAAGTCAGGCGTGTGTGATGCCAACCATAGACAGAATTTAATTAATCTGGTACATATAATGTCAATCATTCTATTTGTGGACTTAAGATAGAAACAATTACGTTTCCCATATTACCACCTTTCTATTGGAACAGTCGCAACACATCAGATGTTACATTTCTAAACACTTTCCAATGGACTATACATTTTGTTTTGAAATTTTGATTTCTTCTTTCCACTGCAGGTTTTTAATTTGGGAAATGCACCCCTGAATCAAATAACCTTTCTGTTGAAAGATTCAATTTCAGGTGACCTTTCCACAGTATTCCTTAAATACAAACTGCCTTAAGATCTCTGCCATCTCTCCAGTTACATACATTTCAAACAACAGATTGCATATACATTTCTGCATTCATACATGTAGGCACATGCACCATTCTTTTAGCTATTGTTGAAAGAAGTAGTCAGAATAATCTGCATAAAGTGTCATTATTTTGTATTTTAGCCTGTTGAATCCACCATATGTAGTAGGTATTTAGATCTGGCTATCACCATGTATATGTACTACACAGACAATCAGTTTAACGTTACACAGTTACACGCAAACCAGACTCAAGTTTTTATGAAATCTGACCGTGTTGCCTGTTTACGTTAGAAAGGACACGCTGCCCTGCTCAATGCACCAAAATCTGCTCCCAATTTTACCAGATGTCTGATTGCTATCTAACCTCTTTGAACAATAAACTTGGTCTTTGAAACTGCAGGAATAATACAATAATTTTGTAATTCTACTAAAATTCATCCACTTATCAAAATAAAATCCGTTTCTCTAATGCCTATTGCATTACATAATAAAACCAGGTTTTGATGAAGGAAGGTAACAAATAAAACTTAGGTCATTTCAGAACCAAGAATTACAAAGTTAACTTTTCTAAATTTTGCATTATCCTTTATTATGTCTAAGCTTTAGACATAATGAAGGATAATACAAAATTTAGAAAAATTAGGGCCTCAAAATATCTTAACCAGGCCTTAACAAATATCTTAACAAAATTTCAGTTATCCTGAAAATTAAATCACTTTTATTTGCATTCTCTAATCGCAAAGATCCATAATAATTTCTTTGTTGTGTATTGTGGGCTCACTTTTTGTGGGCCCTGGTTCAACTGAACCACCTACGCCATGATAAATTTAACAGGGTTCTACTTACGGCACCCAGCCTTTATTTTGTCTCTATTTTTCTTAATGATTATGTCCATAAAATGAAACGCTAGAATGACTTCTTAAATATCAATATAATCCAAAATACCCCCAAAGTAGAGTGGCATCAGGTGTTCTGAGAAGATAAAGCATACTCTTCCCTGTA